AGTCATTGGACCTTACTTTTTCGAAAATGAGGCTGGAGCAACAGTTACGGTGAATGGATTGCGCTATCGAGAGATGATTAATGATTTTTTATGGCCGGAATTGGATGGTATTGATGTGGACAACGTTTACTTTCAACAAGACGGTGCTACGTGCCACACAAGCAACGAAACCATTGATCTTTTACGGGAAAAGTTTCCGGACCGTGTTATCTCTCGAAGAGGTGATCACAATTGGCCACCGAGATCTTGTGATTTAACACCTTGCGACTTCTTCCTTTGGGGCCACGTGAAAGAGAAGGTGTACGCCAACAGCCCAGCGTCGATTCAAGACCTCAAAGATGGAATTCGTGAGGCTATTGAGGACATAGGGCAGCCACTTTGCAATTTGGTTATGGAAAATTTTATGGAAAGGATATTGTCCTGTAAGCGTGGTCGTGGTGGTCATTTGCCTAATGTTATTTTCCACTATTAACGGCATACCTTCTTCTTTATAATGAAATAAACATCCGATCATTTATACTAAAAAATGCATTTTTCTTTTAATATCAAAATAACACCTCTTATTGGAAAACCCTGTATTATTTAAGTAAGGAAAGGTTTTGCTTCGCAACAGGTAACTTGCTTATGAGTTTTCGACCGGCTTATAAACGCACTATCACTAGACTGAGAACCAGAAACATTCGGATTTAGTCACACGTCTCTCAAGACGGCTAAACCCGAATGATTCTAATTCTAGGTCTTGTGTTAGTTTTAGTGATAGTGCATTAAAAATGTGCAACATTTTCTTGTGATTATTGTTCTAGTGATTAAGATAACTTAAAGAATTAAAAAAGTTTAAAAAAAAACTTAAATACATTTCAAAATTTTTTTGTTGTTGAATTTTTCCATTTTGAAAAATTGAAAGACTAGAAGGAAAGAACAAAGCTTTTCATGGAGTAATATCCCGCACGTCTTGCAACTCTTAAAAAAAGGAGTTTCCCTTCCCCCATCCTTACGTACTCAAACGTGCGGGATAGGATGGGGGTGGTTAGTACCACTTCATTCCGTCCCCATCCCACAAAATTATTCAAAAGAAAGTGGGCCAAACGTTGCCCGTACACGAGGAAATCCCCTCTTGTCGCAAGTTACGCTCGATGGAGAGCCGCTTTTAAGACAATTTTTTTTACTGTCACAAGATGATTTTAAAGTTTTAGATAGAAGAAAAAATTAAAATTAAAATACACTAATTTTTAATATTAACTTACTGTCGTTGATAAATTGATAACGTCCGGTAAAGAGATCGCTGGTGGACACGTTCTTATCCGTGTAAAAAGCGAGGGCGATGGCCCTGTAAAGGGATACTCGTCTTCGCGGAGGTATTGGGCCGCAGTATCTGCCGCCAAAAGGTGAATTGATCAGTTCGCCGGCATCCGGTTGCACCACTTCCGAGTACACATCCATGTACTCATGGATACAGCTAGTTTCAAAGAAAATAATAAAATTAAAATACAATAGGGGCTATTCTATAATCAATTTAAAAACTCTAGAATTTATAATATAATATATATAGGTGCTAAAAGTAGTTTACGAACGAACTAAAAACGAATCTGGGTAGATGTAATATAATAGTAGGAATAGAATTCGCGCCCTTGCACAATAAATCAGTTACTTTCTTTACGTTTTTGGCGATTTTCGTCAAATTGATATCACCACAAGTACAAGAACAATACCAAGTTTAAAAGATGTCAAAATCTGAATGATGAATTAAACCGAGGAGCTACATTAATATCATATAGCATATAAAAACTAACCAGATTTCAACGTTATAAACCTAACTCCAAATAATTCCGCAACATCAATACCATATCTATATGAAACCTATAATCTGTTTTTTATTTAAATCAATTGTCAAAGTGTCGTCAAGTTGGTATTGAAAACTGTCTATCAAATTTGTTAAGATTGATTAAAAAACAGTTTTCATATAATTTTTTTGCTGCTAAATCTACCATAAAAATGTTAAGAAAGGGTGGAACGGGATGTCAACTGTCTAAACGCGAAAAAAACTCTATAATTAGGTATTGTGAAGAAGTACAGACGGAGACACCAAATACGAATTTAAAATATACAGGGTGGTTCAGTTTTTAATCGGGAAACTTTACTAGGACGTAGTACTTGCCAAAATAACACAAGTTTTTTATATAAACATAGGGTCGCAACTCTTTTGTTTTCGAGCTATGAGCGATCAAAGTTGAGCTAAAAATTTACATTTTATTATTTATTTCGGCTATAAGTAAACCGAAGAATTTGAAATTTGGTATGTATTTACTACTGGTTAACATCTTGTTTTCTAGCATACCTTAAGCTTCCCTAGCGCCCTCTAAGGGGATGAAATTCACCACCCCCTTGGTTCTTTTTAGAAGAACTTTTTAACGCAATGCAATATTAACATAGAAAAATATGGGTTGTACAGCTCATTCTTTAGTGGTTTTTTATTACAAAAATAAACACAATTAATTTAAAAATTGTTCTAAATGCATGCCATTGTTATCAATGCATTTTTGGCATCTTGTAACAACAGAATTAACTGCTGCTAATATTTGAAACGGATTGTTCCTTAAAGTGTTAGCAGCGTCTTTTATTTTTCCCAACAGTTCTTCCCGAGTGTTTATTGGAGCGGCGTAAACTAGATTTTTCATATAGCCCCACACAAAAAAATCTAAAACGTTAAGATCAGGAGACCTTGGTGGCCAGGCAACGGGACCTCGGTTTGCCTCTTGATAATTGACAGGACCTAGTCGTCCTATCCGTCTATGACCATGCACGTACGTTAGCGCTGTAATGCGATGGTGCCCCATCATCTGAAGCCAATGTTGCTCCAGATCACCTAGAGGAACGTCCGATAAACATTCCGCCAAATCGTTTTGCAAAAAATTTAAAAACATCGTTGCGTTCAAACGAGGTGGCAAAAAATAAGGCCCACAGAGGTTATTATTAATGACACCCATCCACACATTAAAACTAAACTCTGTTTGGTAGGTTTTTGGACGTATTGCATGGGGATTTTCATGCTCCCAACTATGTAAGTTATGGTAATTTACGACACCCCTTCTTGTAAACGTGGCTTCATCTGTCCACAAAATCTTCTTACAAAAATTTTGGTCACGTTCAACAGACTGTACAAACCACCTACAGAAAGTTACTCTTTTAGGACCATCTTCAGGTCTTAAATTTTGTACAGGTTGAAAACGATAGGGTTTCCTGTGGTCCTTCTTCAGAGTTCGTAAAATTGTACTTCTTGAGACTCGTAAATTTTGAGCTTGAAGTAGTCTAGCAGCTATGCGACTGCTTAATGTGCTGTCATTATCAAAAAGGTTTAAAATTGCTCTTTGGTTTCTGTTATTTTGATTATTTCGTACTTGCTGGGTATTTAAACCATATTGTCGAAAACGTTGATGTGTATTGATAAATACCTGAGGATCAGGACATCTTCTATTAGGAAACCTTCTAGCGTATTCTCTAGATGCCGCTTCCGCATTTCCATCACAAAAACCATAAATAAAATGAATGTCTGCGTATTCTTCTGTCGAAAATAATCGTGGCATGATCAATTTTTCGTAGTTTTTTAAACAATGATCAACAATAAAAAAATAATGATACTTTTACTTAATAACAATCAAGAAATATTTTCAATAATTGTCAACAATTAAGAGGATTTAACGTAACTAACAGCTCGTCTCAATACAAACATAAATTGTTTTTTGAAAATCAAAGCCAACTTTTAGAGTAATTTTAGCTAAGCATGGCGGTACATGGCACGACATTCCATTTTTTTACACAAAAACTATCAATTTTAGGAAAAAAACTAAAGAGACAAAAAAGTACCATTAAAGAATGAGCTTTATAACCAATATTTTTTTATGTTAATACTCCATGGCGTTAAAAAGTTCTTCTAAAAAGAACCAAGGGGGTGGTGAATTTCATCCCCTTAGAGGGCGCTAGGGAAGCTTAAGGTATGCTAGAAAACAAGATGTTAACCAGTAGTAAATACATACCAAATTTCAAATTCTTCGGTTCACTTATAGCCGAAATAAATAATAAAATGTAAATTTTTAGCTCAACTTTGATCGCTCATAGCTCGAAAACAAAAGAGTTGCGACCCTATGTTTATATAAAAAACTTGTGTTATTTTGGCAAGTACTACGTCCTAGTAAAGTTTCCCGATTAAAAACTGAACCACCCTGTATAGTTTGTGGAGTATATTTTTTATAGTTATTGAATAATTAACAAAAATTCATTTTATTCTATCTAAAACTATTGTACGTATGTATTTAAAAGTTAATGTTGTTGTGGTGATAACCATACCATGATGGAAAACATTGTTTCCAATTATTACCAAAGCTTGTAGTAGTATTTAAAAATTCACTAACAACTCTGGCATTATGTGCTGGTGCTCCGTCATATTAAAAATATGTCATTTGAGACATATTTAGTGGCAAATTGTCGACCAAAGGCTCAATGTGCTGCCTTAATATAAATATTGAGGTATTTCCCTGAGTTTAAGTTTTTATGGTAGATACTATATGCCAAAATTCTATTATCTAAAAGCGCACACCATACATTGAACCCCAATCTTCTTTGAACACTCAAAGACTTCATCGGTCCATATGACATTTTGAACAAAATACAGATTATTTAATTTTTCTAAATATCATCTACTAAATTCTAATCTTAGATTGACATCTCCGCCACGTAAGTAATGAGTAAGCCCCGCTTTGTATGTTTATACTTATTTTTCTTTCATATTCGGGAGCAGCGGCTTTTGGGTCAGAGATTTATCACAAGTGAAGCGAACACATTGACTTCATCCTCTCGCAGATCATTTTGGTATGTTTTTGCACGTGATTTGGGGAAGGACGAAAAATCTATTAAATTTTCTGCTAACCGACTGAAGGTCGCATTCTTATCTGATAACTGATAACATATAGCATTCCATCATGTCACATTTTTCATAATTTTCGAAATTCATTGTAAAGTTTTATTGAGTTTTGTTATACTTTGACACTTAACATGCTGGTGCTTCATACCAGCATATAATGCCAGAGTTGTTATCGAATTTTTAAATACAAACTTTGGCAATTATTTGATACATTATGTTCCATCATAGTATGTATGGTCATCACCATAGCAACATTAACTTTTAAATACATACATTAGCTGTAGATAGAACAAAATGAATTTTTGTTCATCTACAGCACACAAACTATATATATTTGTTATCAGAAGAAAATAACAAATTAATTTAGGTCATTGCCAACTATGGTTTCCATTTAAAAAAATAAAGTTACGTCTAAAATCTTGAAAATAAAAGATGGCAAAAAAATTCTACCTACGCCACTGAATTCTTCGTACAAAGTTGCCCATATAACGTTTTCTTTATAATACTCCATCTTTGATAATAAGTGAGATATTCGCGATTGTCGTTTTCACAAAATTTTCAGTTTTTGTCGATAGGGCGAAAATAAAAGACGATAGCTGTTCGGAGTTTTCGGCATTAGCATTTTCTCGAAAAACGAGATCATGACATGTAAGCTACTTTTTTTCTATCTCTTTTAGTTTCGGAGATAGCCTATGCGGACATCGAAATTGGGACATATACCTGTACCTGTACATATAATGTTATATTATTTTTAGGAGTGGTGCAGTCTACCATTTATCGCACTATACAAGAATATAAGGAGAAGGAACAAGTTACGCCACCTAAACAAAGTTCTGGAGAACACTCATTAATTGATGATTGCGATAAAACTTGCAAGAATTCGATAAAACAATTAATTCACAGATTTTTTTTATAAAAATGAACTTCCTACCCTTGATAAAGTATTGACTGAAATGAAAATGTAGAAATTTATGAAAATGATAAACTTCAGGTCAGTGCCAATGTTCAATCAATATAAAAAAAATCGAGTAAATGTATTCTGATATAATTAAATATGATATATAATTATTGTAGATATACAGGTTGATTCAAAAAACCGCTGACAGACACTTTTTTAAAAATATTGTCTACGCCATTACTCTCTACGCGTGTAAAGTGATCAATTATCTATCAATTGGTCTCTTACAAAACTTTGATCAAAGCAATAGTTTTTAAGAAAAACACGTTTGTAGAAAATTTATTAATTCAATCAAAAACTGTTGCTTTAATTAAAGTTTTGTAAGAGACCAATTGATAGATAATTGATCACTTTACACGAAAATACTGCCCGTTTGACAAAATTAGCGGTGGAGTTGAAAATATTTTTAAAAAAGGGGTTTTTATTGCAGATAATCTTTAATTTTAAAGAAAGTTTATGTCTCGTTAAGGAGGCATTTGCGACCCCATCTATATTAAGACTATTCATCTTAATTTTTCATGTATTATCTACTCTAGAAGTCTGTCAGCGGTTTTTTGAATCACCCTGTATAAAGAGAGATCGAAAAAGTGTGTTGATAGAACATGATGACATAATTAGGTGGAGAAAAAGGTATTTGATGACAATTATAGAGTATCGCCGCCAAAATCGGCCAATATATTATTTGGATCAAACATGGCTAAACGAAGGTCATATCAAACAACAAATTTGGGTGGATGACAGTATAAAAAGTAAACGACAAACGTTTACAGAAGGATTACAGGCTTACGTAATCCTGCTGGGAAAGGGAGACGTCTTATTATTTTGCACATAGCATCTGATCTCTGGTTTTCTGGAGAATGGTTTATTTTTAATGATGCTTTGATCAAGTGTTAACAGTGAAACACAACAACATCTGAAAAGCTCGATATGCAACCTTGGTTGACATCCAAAAATATTCAGTACAATGAAAAGATGGTTCGGTCTTAGCTTATTCACCTAATTCGACTAAATAAAGACCCATATAATACTCACGTAACAGATAAGATGGTCAAAAATTGCATCAAAACTGTTTTTGACCAACCCAAATGAGTTGGTGTGGGCTCAGTTAAAAAATGAGGTGGCAAATAAGAATACTTCATTCAAATTAGCAAATTTGAAGGTACTTTTAGTACAGGCTATCCAGAATGTCACTCTGGACAATTGGAAAAAATGTGTTGAAGATGTAATTAAAGAAGAATGTGTGACTAAATAAGATGACATAATCGAACCATTCATTATATCATTGGGCAAAGATAGTTCAAGTAAAATGGATAGTGAATAATTACTTTATTAAGTTATTGTTTTATATGTACGTATGTATACGTTCTGCCGTTTGTCTAAATTGTTGTTCGCTTGTAATCTTATAAAAATAAGGATTATAGTAGAATAAAGCAACATTCAGAAACTTTCATTAAAAGATGGACGATATACAGCCTGTTCTAAATTAAGTGCGCACCATATTGCTAATGGAAGACTAAATACTGCTTGCAGAAGACTACTTACTGTTGACAGAAGTATAGAAACCGGTGGAAGAAGACTAATTGTAAATACAGCTGGTGGAAAACTATACAGTGTGTCCGTAAAGTAGCGGATATAGTGACTGGTTAGACAAAATAAAACCGCAATGGCGGCGGTTATTTCATAAAGTATATCAAGTAAAAGAGTTAGGATTAGATTTAAGAACTACTGATATAGTAAAGAAATATTCAAATGTATGTACCAAAGATAGATCACAAAGTATCAAGGGTTTTAGATTAGACATCAAAGTAAAAAACGGTTCCTCACCCGTGTTCCACAGGCCCTATAACACCCCTCATGCCTTAAGGGAGAGTGTGGAAGCGGAATTGATGGCTATGGAGAAAGCAGGGATAATCGAAGGAGTGTCGTACAGCGACTGGGCAACTCCTATGGTGGTTGTACCAAAAAAAAATGGCAGTATTCGCTTGTGTGCAGATTTCAAGGTAACATTAAACCCTTTATTGCATGTGGATAAGTATCCATTATCATTGATAGAGAACGTGGTAACTTAACTCAGGTAAGATCATTTTTGGGGATGTTGAACTATTACAGGAAATTTCTTCCTATGGCTTCTGATGTATTGGTACCATTGTATGACCTAGAGAAAAAAAATTCAACTTTTGTTTGGGACAGCAAGTGTGAGACAGCATTTCAGGAAGCAAAATGTCTTCTGTTGAGGAGTTCTATGCTAGTGCACTATAACCCAAAGTATCACCTTATGCGTGTGGAGCGATCTTGAGTCACATTATTGAGGGAATCGAACGACCAGTGATGTTTGCATCATCAACATTTACAGCATGTCAACGATATTACGCACAGATTCAACGTGAGGCATTGGCGATTGTATTTGCAGTAAAAAAATTTCATAATTACATATATAGGCGACAATTTACATTAATTACGGATCATCAACCATTAAAGTTGATCTTCGGAGAGAAAACTGAAGTACCGGCAGTAGCAGCTGCGCGTTTGCAACGATGGGCGTTGTATTTGTCAGCTTACAACTACAATATTGAATATAAAAAGGGATCAGAGATTAGTAATGCAGATGCGTTCTCTAGATTACCTCTTGAAGAAGAGACCGAACACATAGACAAAATTCACGGTATCAGTGATGTTGGTGGAAGTTATCTGCTTGCGGAAGACGAATTGAATGGTGAACCAGTAGATGTATATGATCTAATTAAATACACTAAAGTCGATCTCATTTTGTGCCGTGTTGCAGAATTTACCCGAAGAGGATGGCCAAATACTAAAGTAGAGGAGTCGTTAAAACCTTACTTTCAGAGGAAGCATGAAATAACCTTTGATAATGATTGTATGGTATGGGGTGCAAGAGTGATAATTCCAACTGCATGAAGAACACATTGGAGTAGTGAGAATGAAGATGTTAGCCAGAAGTCTTTACTGGTGGCCAGGAATAGACAAGAATATTGAAGATGTAGCGGCACATTGTGTGGACTGTGCAACGGTGACATCGAAACAACCAGAACAAAAGTTTACGACTTGGACTAAATCAAAGAAAGCGTGGCAGAGGTTACACATAGATTTCTTTCAAAAATTTGGGAAGTATTTTTTGATAGTGGTGGATGCTTTAAGCAGATGGGTGGAAGTTAAAATTGTTTCGAGCACGAACACCATCACCCCATTGAGAGGATTATTTACAGTTTTCAGACCTCCATTTAATGGAGAGAAATTTCGAAAATTCTGTATAAAAAATAAAATCAAACACATATTAACACCACCGTTACACCCACGTTCGAACGGATGTGCAGAACGCCAAGTGGCAACTATAAAGCAAAATATGGAGAAGATCATAAAATGTAAAACTGACGAGGAATTACAATTCAGAATCGACAATATTTTACTGAAACATCATGTGACACCTAATAGTGTAACAGGCAAAACTCCAGCGAAGTATTTATTGAAATACATTCCACGAACTAAGTTAGATTTTCTAAAACCGAGAGAAAAAAGAGAAAATGTGAAGTTAGATCACATAAAACGACCAAAAAAGACATTTTTTGAGGGAGAAGAAGTTCTAGTATATAATAAAAGAAATGGAAAGAATAAGTGGATTAAGGGAAAAGTACCAAAAGCGGTGAGTCGCTATACATATCTTGTAAATACGGAAGGAGAAATCCGTTATATACACGGAGAAGATTTAAAAACTTATAAGATTGATCAACCGGAGATCTTGCCAGATTTATTAAATTCGACCAGAAATGTAATACCACAGACAAGTCAAACAGATACACCTGATTTGGAGTTAAGAGAAGAGTTGCACCCATCAGAAGATTCTGATGCTCCTGAACCGGAAGCTTGTGCTGGTCCTAGTCCGGTGATTACACCACATACCCCAAAACCATTTCCTCCTGCACCTCCTGTTAGAAAATCTATGCGAATTAAACGACCCCCTAATAGACAAAATTTATGAATGATATATTTATGTAAATGTGTTTTTATTGTTAGTTGAGGAGAGATGTTATACAGGGTGTATCTGAATGACTGCAACAAACTTCAAGGGGTAATTCTTTACTGAATTTTAAAGGTACTTTGATACTTTGATTGAACCATAGGCGACTTCGGCTCCCCTAAGGAGCTACACCCCTTCAAAAATGTCGGAAAATTTTGGTTAAATTTGTTTTTCTCAAAAACCATAAACGCTAGGAAAATGAAATTTGGGGAATATGTTTAACTCATAATAGGGCACGTTTTGACCCTATTTGTACTTTCAACCTACCCTTCTAAACTACTAAACGTAACCACCCCCGTTCAATTTATGCCTAGATTTTTTTTATGAAGATGATAAATACATTGGAAAAATTTCAGTTAGATAGATAAAACTATTCTAAAACTTTTTTGTCTCTCTGATGTTCTTCTAAAAATTAATAATTTCTGAGAAAAAAAATAATTAAGCAAACACTAACTGTTAAGCTGTAGGGTTGTTAATCGAAAGTTGGAATGAATTTTTAATGAAAAAATCTTAGTAGGCTTTGCAATCTTTGTCAGAAATATTTTTGACGTTTAAATGTCAGTTTTTCTTACTATTATTATTGTTTTTCAAATTAATTTTTGAATAAAGTTCTATCGCATTTACGCTCGTTCACTCGACGTTTCAAAATTTTAAATAAAACAATAATAATAGTAAGAAAACCACTGACATTTAAACGTCAAAAATATTTCTGACAAAGATTGCAAAGCCTACTAAGATTTTTTCATTAAAAATTCATTCCAACTTTCGATTAACAACCCTACAGCTTAACAGTTAGTGTTTGCTTAATTATTTTTTTTCTCAGAAATTATTAAATTTTAGAAGAACATCAGAGAGACAAAAAAGTTTTAGAATAGTTTTATCTATCTAACTGAAATTTTTCCAATGTATTTATCATCTTCATAAAAAAAATCTAGGCATAAATTGAACGGGGGTGGTTACGTTTAGTAGTTTAGAAGGGTAGATTGAAAGTACAAATAGGGTCAAAACGTGTCCTATTATGAGTTAAACATATTCCCCAAATTTCATTTTCCTAGCGTTTATGGTTTTTGAGAAAAAAAAATTAAACCAAAATTTTTCCACGCGTGAAGAAAAATGATTTTCCAGGAATATAAGAAATGGTTAGGAAAATTTTCTTTTTGAATCTGAAGCAAAAGGACACCAGGAATATGATGCCGTTGAAATTAGATCAATTAGAAACCTCGAACAAGTCGAAATTTGCGAATGTTTGAAGAAAATCAGTTTTTCCGGAAAATAGGAAATGATTAGGAACATTTTCTGTTCCAATTTAAAGCAAGAGGCGACCAGAAATAAGATGCCGTTTAAATGAGATCGATTAGAAACCCCGAACCGAATCGGCCAAAATTTGCGAATGTTTGAAGAAAATCGATTTTCTCGGAATATAAGGAATGTTCTTTTCGAATCTGCAGCAAGAAGCGACCAGGAATGTAATGCCGTTGACATGGGATCGATTAGAAACCCCGAACAGCCCGACATTTGCTTATGTTTGAAGAAAATCAATTTTTCCGGAATATAGGAAATGGTTAGGAAAATTTTCTGTTCGAATCTGAAGCAAGAGGCCACCAGGAATACGATGCCGTTGAAATTAGATCGATTAAAAACCCCGAACGAGCCGAATTTTGCTTATGTTTGAAGAAAATCAATTTTTCCGGAATATAGGAAATGGTTAGGAAAATTTTCTGTTCGAATCTGAAGCAAGAGGCCACCAGGAATACGATGCCGTTGAAATTAGATCGATTAAAAACCCCGAACGAGCCGAATTTTGCGAAAGTTTGAAGAAAATCGATTTTCCCGGAAAATAAGAAATGGTTAGGAAAATTTTCTTTTCGAATCTGAAACAAGAGGCGACCATGAATACGATGCCGTTGAAATTAGATCGATTGAAAACCCCGATCACGCATTTTTTTCAGTTTAAAATCTATGGCTGAAATCTATGGCCAACTTCACACGCGTAATTTGAACACCTGTATCTCCAAAACAAAGCGTTTGTGGACCTATGTTTATATAAAGTTTTTGTGTTTAAAAGATCTATCGACTGTTAAAATCTTGCTACAAAAACCTGAAACACCCTGTACACAGGGTGGTTCAAATTCGATGTCCGAATAGGCTAACTCGGAAACTATAAGAGTTAGAAAAAAAGTAGCTTACATGTCATGATCTTGTTTTTCGAGAAACTGCTAATGCCGAAAACCTCAAAGCGCTATCGTCTTTTGTTTTTCCCCTAGAGGCGAAAATTGAAAATATCGTAAAACCAAGAAGTGCAATTATCTTTGTTATTATTATAGGTGGAGTATTATAATTAAGACATTATATGGACACTTTTTTACAGAGAATTTCATGACTTAATCAAAAAAAATTTTTCGGTTTTAGATTTTGAGATATCATGACAATTTTCGTTTTTTAAATGGATACAACCACTGATTATTCGCTTATTAAATTCGTTATTTTTTTCTGATTACAAAAATATAGAGTGTAACAGGTCTATTTCTTATTGTTTTAGAATAAAGCTAAAAATAAACTTTTTCTTTAGTGTCCTTAAAGAAATTAAATTTACAGGAAACTGTAAATTATAACTAAAAATTATTATACTATTTAATAACAATATTTTTCGGACACTCACTGGAAATGGCCTATATTTCCTTATTACAAATCGTAAAGAAAAGTACCTCATTTCTTTATAGCAACCATTTCTTTATAGCAACCAAATAAACAATTAATTATTTATTAGAATAAATATTAAACGTACAATTATTAAGATTAGAGAAGCTTATACTTGATGTACACTGTTGTAACTGTAAATCACCACATGTTAGTGACGATTTTGATAACACCTCCTGATGAACTCCTGATGAATCATTACTTTATTTTTTTTGTTTGGTTGCTGTAGTGAGGGAAACGTCAGAAACGACAATTTCATTCTCGAGCTCGTCGTGTACTTTTTAAATAATTTCTTATAAAATGTAGGTAATTCATTTAAATTAGTGCCCGAAAAAACATGTGGCTGAAGTTAGATTCACTCGCCAGACACAGATTCGAATATTTACAGTCGATCAAACAAGTAGTGGTGCTAAAATTTTATTTCAAATATGAACTTTTCTCACCACTTGGGAGCGTTTCACTCTAAAATCACGCTAAGTACTTAAGTTGAACCCTCTAGTACCCCCGTATCTAGAGATGGGGATGCTGGAGGAGGGTTTAATTTCTGATAATTTTGTAGAGTAATTTTAGGATTTTTTTTCTCATCCCCCGGGGGGTGCTTCACTTTGCAACCACGCTAAGTAATTAAGCCGAACCCTCTAGAACCCCCGTGCAAGATCAAAACCCCCGAATTTAGAGATGGGGATGCAGGGTGAGGATTTAATTTTTGTTAATTTTGTAGGGTAATTTTAGGATTTTTTTTCTCATCCCCCGGGGGGTGCTTCACTTTACAACTACGCTAAATAATTAAGTCGAACCCTCTAGAACCCCCGTGCAGGATCAGAACCCCCAAATTTATAGATGGAGATGCAGGGTGAGGGTTTAATTTTTGTTAATTTTGTAGGGTAACTTTAGGATTTTCTTTCTCATCCCCCGTGGTGTGCTTCACTTTGCAACCACGCTAAATAATTAAGTCGAACCCTCTAGAACCCCCGTGCACGATCAGAACCCTCGAATTTAGAGATGGGGATGCAGGGTGAAGGTTTAATTTTTGTTAACTTTGTTGAGTAACTTTAGGATTTTTTTCTCATCCCCCGTGGTGTGCTTCACTTTGCAACCACGCTAAATAATTAAGTCGAACCTTCTAGAACCCCAGTGCACGATCAGAACCCCCGAATTTAGAGATGGGGATGCAGGGTGAGGATTTAATTTTTGTTAATTTTGTAGGGTAACTTACAATTTTTTTCTCATCCCCCGTGGAGTGCTTCACTTTGCAACCACGCTAAATAATTAAGTCGAACCCTCTAAAACACCCGTGCACGATCAGAACCCCCGAATCTAGAGATGAGGATGCAGGGAGAGCAAAGAAGACACTGCTGATAGGTGGCTATCAGATTCCTGTATTGATGCCTTCGTGTTTGCATATTTGCAAAATTTTGCTGATATATATTATGTTGACACAGTCTCAACACAGTTTATGTTTTCAAACAATACCTCTCTGAAGCTACAAATTTATTCGGAATGCTTCAATAAGTACAGATACATATTAATTCCTTATAATATTAATTTTTCGCATTGGACTTTAATTGTTTTAAGTGTACCTAACCACTTAATATATTTTTTTGATCCAGGACACACAAATGCCCAATCCAAAATTTTTAAAATGGTAAAAAAGTTTTTTTTACTTTACAACAATTTCAACAATTCTGATNAAATTACTCTACAAAATTATCAGAAATTAAACCCTCCTCCAGCATCCCCATCTCTAGATACGGGGGTACTAGAGGGTTCAACTTAAGTACTTAGCGTGATTTTAGAGTGAAACGCTCCCAAGTGGTGAGAAAAGTTCATATTTGAAATAAAATTTTAGCACCACTACTTGTTTGATCGACTGTAAATATTCGAATCTGTGTCTGGCGAGTGAATCTAACTTCAGCCACATCGAAAAAACTTCATGTATTATTCTTAAAGAAAAGTAACTTCTTTACTCATCGCGTTTCGTAAAGAAAAAAGTATACTTTCTTTACTTATAATGCAAATAACTATTGTTTTACACAATAGTTGGAATAGAGTGCATTATTTCACTTTTTTTTATTAATATTTAATATTATTATTAAATGACTCATATATCAAAAATATAATATATCAAAAAATGCCCTCATATATCAAAAATTTTCTAAAGTGTCAAATTAAAAATCCTGTTTTTTTAAGATGGATTACGAAAATTACGAAAACTTTAACATGTTAGAATGTTACATATTAGAAAATAAAGTAAATTTTACATC